CTTCGGTGGAGGATTTTGATTTTAGGGGTGTTGAGGTCCAGCGCTTCAGGGTTTAGGTTCTGATGAGCCTGGGGCGACATTTTTGGTACGCATCTCAACTTTTCTGCAGTCCCAGCAGGGCCCGGCTGCAAAGGACGCCGCTCCACGAAAGCAACACAATAGGGTAGGGAGGTTAAGAGCTTTTGGTGTAGGGTTGAGGTCGGATTCTGCACAACAGAAGCTGGCCACGCCCTTCGACACGTCCGAATAACTCCGGCAGGCACCTAACACCGGACAGGCTTAATGCCAGTTGAAACTGTCTTACGAAGCCAGCTTAATTTGAAATGATAAGGCTGCTCATGTAGCCCACGGCTTCTTGCCCTCAATTGTATTGGGTTTTCTGTGACCCGCCAACCCAGCTCCGGAGTTGTGTGGGGGAGGGGCGGAGGGGGGGCGGAGGGGGGGCGGGGGGGGGGGCAGATTTGGGCCAAATCCATTCACTTTTTGTGTATGTGTGTATGTATGAATGAATGAACGAACGAATGAATGAATGAATGGATGTACGCATGTATGTATGTATGTATGTATGTATGTGTGTATGTATGTGTATATATACATATGTACTAACCCTAGCTAAGCCCTATAAACCCCACACATATATACGCCACAGAAAGCTGTCTGTAGTGGCCCCCCAGTAGCCCACCAGCGTCGGCCCAGGCTGCGTTTGCTGCGGGTCGCCCGAGTCCTGCGTAACTCGAATGGGAAGAATTGACCAGTGGCTGCGGGCGTATCAGGGTAAAGGGTTTAGAGTTTAAGCTTTAGGGTTAGAGGAAAGGCCCGCAAGCACAGTTGCAGAAAGGGTAAAGCGTATGTTTCTGGAGGCTTCCTCTGGGTCACAGCATCCTTGCGTTTTGGGCTTCTGCAGCATTGAAGCGGGGTGTTGGGGGCTTGTAGAGCGCATCGTTTGTATATTGTCTAGGGATGAACTGGCGAGCTTCTTCCAAGTGCAACTCCTTGGAGTTCGTTCTGGGCCATCAGTTCACCCTGCGTGACAAGTCCTGGAGTTTGAGAGTAACCTTCTGCACTATTTCAAGAACATGGTAGGAGCTTTGGATACTTAAATCCCTCTTGTGAGCACGTCCGCACGTCGAGCTCATGTTTGCAGACGAAAATCGGCCATGTCCCTTCAAGGTTCAGCAACCGGTGGCCATGTTAAGACGGAAGTTTTGATGCAAAAAGCAGGGTGCGATCGAAAGTGCGCGGGGGGATTATGCTGAAGAGTCCACAGAACTCTCCAAGAAGTAAGGTATGCCTTTGCAAGAGACAGCCATACATGTAGTTGGATGTAGTTTACTGGGTTGCGGGGGTTCCTACTATAGCTACTTACACCAAACAAGTATGTACTTTTTTTCCAGGGTCTACTCCAAAGTAGGTTCAGGGTTCTTCAGGTAGGGTTTTGGAACTCATGACAGCCAAGTCGCAGGTCTGACCCGACTCTTGCGGAAAAGCACCTCTCTAAAAGAGCTCCTTGGCTGGTTTGTTGGGATTTGGAATAAAGTTTCAAATCTCTGTGGTTCTGATCCCTATATACCTTCTGAAGCCATAAGACATTTCGTTGTTGCAGATGCCTCCGTCGCGGCAGATCCCCAAACCCGGTTTTCTCACCGTGGTACGGCTTCCTGCGACTACGCTGAGCTCCGGAGCCTGACATGACTGGGCATGCTTGCGGCCGATGAGCTATAGTCGCGTTTTGGTTTTTACCGTTTATTCTCGCAGTGTTATGTACGTGTATATCACTTTACTACTATACAAAGGTCTTAATGTTGATATGCTATGAATATATTAGTATACATATATATATATTTATATTTATTTATTAGTATGTATGTATGTATGTATGTATGTATGTATGTATGTATGTATGTAGCAAAATATCAGTATATGAAGATACCTCTTGTTCTAATACTGTCTTGGGTGAATGCAGAGCGTTAGAAGCAACCCCCTAGGATGCCACAGGATGCTAGCAAAAGCAGGGCACTCGAACTGCCCACATCTGTCATTCCTGGGGACAAGACACATAGGCGTACCTCCAGCGTACATCAGCCTCAAACCCCGAACTAACAACGTCGCGTTGCCGGAAGTGCTGCAGCCAAAGTAAAACCCCCAAAAGCTGTCTCAAGGATAAGACTCGAGTCGAATCCCCAATGTGTTCCAGATGCACCCAAACATGGGATGTATAGTGTGCGTATATATAGATGTATATATATATATATGTATATACAAGTGCATATTTCCTAGCATACGTATATATATATATACAGCTTAGACATGTATGGGTATACGAAGCACGCCTTGAGCGTTTCTTGTCCCGAAGCGTTACCCACCGACAGGGTAGCTGGTCGGCTAGGACGAGGGCTACTATTCGCTTAAGAACCGACCAAAAATAGAAATAGTAATGCGTGTATTACCCTTATGAGGAGGAATATGTTTTTTTTTGAGAGGGGGGGGGGGGTTCTTAAGCAATTCGTAGAGGAGTGAAGGCAGAGCCAACACCGGACTTCCTTTGCCCAAGGCTCCGTCGGCTTCTGACCATGATGGCCACCTGTATGAAACTCGGGCCAGTTCGGAAATGTTGTCTTATTTCTACGGAGCTTCAAATTTTTCCGTACATCCCAATAAAACCCCATTTAACCCATACAGTGAGGACCAAAAGAAGCCCCAAAGTATACTACAGCAGTTGATAGACCATGAACCCTTTTAGGGTTCATGTGGTTTTGCTTGGGTTCACTTCTTTACGCCTAGACCCGAAACCCTAAACCCTACCCGCCAAGACCCAAGGAAAGCCCTGGGCTGGTCTTTTCTGATCTGCTTCGGCGTCATGCAGCTGGGCGAGTCGATACCTAAAACCCTAAACCCTAAGCCCTGTCCGAGTATGACTTCCCCCTAGCTGGGTTAACTTCAGCTAGGCTGCCCAGTAACAAAGGCTTAAAAAGGGTGCCCTTTTTTGCTTCAAGGGGTCTATAAGGGGGGGGTTATAGTAGCTTAGGGTGTTTGGAGGGTTTAAGAGGTCAGAGGTTTAGGGCCAGGGGGTTTAGAGCGCTAGGGGGGTTTATGGGACTTGTGCTTTGTCTTCATTCTAAATTCTCTGGGTTCCTGGCTCTGGCGAATCTAAGTTGACAGTTCCTGGCGTCCTTCGCCCCATTCCCGTGTGCCTAGCCTAGCCATGTGGGTTCGGAGTGGGCCCTGCACCACACACCCTCAGCCTTCAACCCAGTTCCGGAATGTGAGAGACCCCTTTGATGCAGCGTGGTTGGGGGGCTAAGGCCCGTTGAGAAGGGCCACCCAGAATCGGGGACCCCCGTATATAGATCCCCAAATAGGATTCCCTTATGATAAGGACCCCAATAAGGTACCCCTAATTTCGGAAACCCCCTTTTGGGCATGCTATCTTGACCCAGATTTTGACGCTTGGGTCTGCGACTGGACGCTTGGGGGATGCCGCGCTCTCCTCATAACGAGGTCTCTCAATCGTGGGGGTTACATTATACATATATATAGTACTATATTGAGATCTTGATGTCTTAATATATCTTGAACATTTTTTAATTTTAACGCTACGCGACCCGCCTCGGCCTGGCCCAGTGCAGCCCCCTGAGCTTGTGGAGCATGCAGCCCATCCAAAGGTGTCAAGCAAGAAGTTGCGCACGGTAGTTTGGGCCTCAACGCCAAATGCTAGATTGATGTGATGCGAGGCACGCGGCACACATGCTCAGCAACAGAGGCATGCTTCAGACACGCATATCGCTTGCTGCGGACCGCACCCCGCATGGACCCCTTATGACCATGGACCCCCTATGCCCCCCATGCACCCCAACTTGCCATTACCTTTCTGTGCCCCGGAACCGACCTCTACTGGAGGACCCCTTTGGCAGTAAGACCACACCTAGTCTAAATGCACCGGGCAACACTCCGCCATTGCCAAGGACTTTTTGGGCTATGCTCATGGTGGAGATTGTCAACCCGTCCTCTGGCAGACATTCAGTGCTTGGCTTTTTTGCTGGCGTACCGGCTTTTGAGTTACTTTAGAGGGGTTTTGAGGCCCAGGGTAACCTCGTAGTTCATGACCGGAGGGGAAGTAGGGCAAGAACTGATCAGGCAATTCTTCTAGAGTTCGCTTCTTCTTCGGAGCAGTGGCGAGCAGCATGTTTCTTGATGTACAAGTACTTCCATAAGCAACAACTTCAAGATTCAGCTTTCATTCCTGAAGATGCTCGGATGGAAACAGCTATGCGGGCACGTACCTGCTGCAAGTTGTCACCTCTTTGTTTTCGATGTCCATTTGCCGGGCGTATAGTGACTGTAGATTCTCTCTGGTTCGCGTAAGGCCTCATCGTCATGTTCTGCAGTCCAATACAAAAAAAACCCGCAAGCGGGCCTTTGCGCAGAAAACCTGCTGATGCCTGTTAGCACTTCGGTGCAAGTCGGCATTGCTACGGTAGCTCCCCCATCCTGCAACAAAAGCGTCCCTGCACTAACTGCGGCCGCTGCGCAAGGATTGTCAAGGAGAAAGGGCATGCATACTTCGATGACTGCGCGCAATGTTTACGGGCCACGGGCTCCGCCTCTTGCCGGCAGAGGGCTTCTGGTTCGAAGACCCCAAAGCCTAAACCCTAAATGCCCGAAATGTGGCTTTAAGTCTGTGCAGTATCGCTTATGAACCCTGTGGAGCAGACCGCGGTAGCTGTTGTGGTTCATAGCTAGTGCCTAAATGCGTCTTCTGACTCAGTTGACACTCGGTTTAGGGCCGGTTTATAGAGCTGGGTTCCTGAATCCCATGATTCTGAAGGATTGGACAAAAGGTTGTGCAGGACATAAGAACCCCACTTTTTGCTTAAGAACCACCGCAAAGAACATATTCCTCCTTATAAGGGCAATATAGGATGTTTTTTTCGTGGGGGGGGGGGGGGGTATCTTAACCAAATGGCAGGTCCAGTGTCCTGCCTGACTGCGTCACTGAGGTCATGGATGCAAACCTTTTGCTGTTTAAGCCGCTGGCCCAGCAGACGACGTTGTCCCTGCATGATTCGATTCGCCTCCTACGGTAGGACATGTGACAGACGAACCTGTCCTGGTGGTTGACCCAGATGGCATGAACCTTTACCCTAAACCCTAAACCCTAAATAAACCCTTTGTGCACAACTGAGGACAGTGATCGCTGGTGACAGTTGGGGAGAGATCGCAGTACCCGTCATTGAGGACAGGAGTGGCCTTCCTCGTAGTCAACGCGAGCAATTCTGCAGCCTCTTCTCGGACCCAGGGATGCTCCTTCTTCCCCTTTTTTGGGTTTTAGGTTCCCTTATCAGACCTTTGAACCAGACAGGGCACCCTTGTTATTCCTAGGTTACTCTTGGGGTCTAGTCTTGGCTCTTGAAAGAACCCTCCAGAAGGAATTGGAGTCCATACAACCCTGAAGTGGGGATGAGCACATGGCGTCTCTAAACATGGGCAAACATCCGGGACACGTTTCCCCCAGTTTTTGCTAGGGCAACCAGGGTTTTCGCTTCTGGGGCCCTTGAACTAAACGCTTAAACCCTAAGCCCGTTTAGGGTTTAGGGTCCTAGGAAAGGGTTTAGGACCCTAAATGTGCGTGCTAAGCATGCATGAGGTAGTGCCTCCTTGGTAACATGCGCGTGTTTTCTTGTGGACACCCTTTTGAAGACCTTGAGAACAGTGTTTCAAATTCTGGCTTGTTTGCTGCTAACAGTCATCAAGTCCGGTTTCAAACAAGGGTTTAGGGTCCTACAAAAGCGGGCTGAAGTGCTCGCATGCGGACTGTGGTTCTTGTCCACTCGCTTCGTCTTGTTCTTCCCGTTGTTCATCTGACCCACTGTCTGCGACAACATCCCGCCAATGGCGACGAAATCTGCGTGTCGAGTTGGTTATGTGTGTTTTTCCTTGAGCTCTGGGCAACAGCTTCTCGTTTCCTCGTCCGGGCATACTTGACGAGGTGTAGTTTCGTGTGCAAGTGCGTCCTTGGTGCGCGAGGTTGTGTGCCATAGATTTGTGTTGCCTGTGGGCCGGAGTTCTCTTACGCACTGAGCACATCGGCGCCTGTGAAGACTGACGGTTCCGTTAACCCTTGTCTTAGCTGAGGGTTTGCATGCTACCTGCTTCAAGCAGGTTTTTGCAAAGAGGAATGCGAACAGAATGCAAATGTAGAACTGTGTGTTTGACCGTTTGCTACGTAGCCTGTGTCGGCGGATAGTTCTTGCCTCGGCGATGTTCCCACTGGTGGGTTGGCCAGAGTGCCTGCCAGGCTGGTGGCAAAAGGCTACCCTAAACCCTAAACCATGAGCCTCAAACCCGAAAACCCGCATGCCATCGTGATGGGCTTGCGAACGCTGCAATGCTCCAGCCAGGATCACCCCGAAACAGCTATGATATTCGTGGGATCCCAACTGACGTTGGTTTTCGGAGCCGGTGTCTCAGAGATGGGGGATTACGAAAATAGGGAACCCCAATTCGGATCTGCAAAGAGTAGGCTAGGTGAGCAGGGCTGACGTTTTGGGAGCCTGTGTCAGGAAGCCATGTGGTTGCTGAGCTTGTAAACCATAAACCTTCTTGAAAGCCCCTTTTATCGAAAGTGTTGGGGCGGCCGGACAGCATGCAATCGTTGCGTGCACCCCGAGCTGCAAGTGAAGGCTCATGCGCTGCTGCGCACCTGAATAAAGCTAATAAACCCCAAAAACAGCACCCTCAACTCGAAGCCTAAGCCCGCTCAAGACCCTGAACCATGGAGCTAAAAGCAGGAACTTGGCCTGCCAGACCTTGTCAGGGTTTCCGTGAATCATTCCCATAATGCGATGATACTGTAGATCAGGGAAAGTTGAATAGTTGGGGGTAGGGGTGTTTCAGTCTAGGGGCAAATTGCCTCAAGGACACCCAAACTGTGTGAATTCACCCAGGTTTTAAATCTCATCGTCGCAGTGGAGCTGTCCTCAGCTGTCAGATGTTGTGAGCAGCATTGCAAGTGCATGAAGGAAAAAGAGAGCTGAAGTCTGCCAGATCACTCATCCCACTGTAGGAAGAGCTGTTTGCTGTCCTTCTCTGATCAACGGCTGCTTACTGACTCAAGCTTTGAGGGTGTTAAGGCGGTAAGGAATGCTTGGCTGTTCTGTTGTACAACACTTTCGCTGAGGTCGTGGACACCTTTGCAGAAGCGCGCCAGCACGATGTGCTGAATTTGGCTGAGGCTGGGTTCTTGCTTTTGTTGAGGTTTGCCTCATGGCTTCAGATTCCTCATTCGCTGAGGTTGACGGTTGAAGTTTTCAAGAGGGACTTGTAGTTCTCGGCTAGAGTAAAACCGGGCACTTGCCAGAGCGAGAGCTAACAAGGGCAGATGTGGCTAAGGTTTGAAGGATAACCCTAAACCCTAAACCCTTAACCCTGAACCCTTAAACCCTAAACCCTAAACCCTAAATCCTAAACCCTAAACCCTAAACCCTAAACCCTAAACCCTAGCGCGTATCCTTTGGGAAACCGTCAGGATGAAACAGGGGCGGGTCAGGGCAGCGCCAGGCCACTGCACACGGTCGGGGGGAGGGGGCGGGCAACAAAGGACACTTTAATATGTGAGAGCCGCGCACTTTCCCATATGTTGCAGTCAGAATTGCTTTTGGCGCGAGCTGTTCAGGGGTGGTTCTAGGGTTCGGGGTGAAAGGGTTACCCTAAACCCTAAACCCTAAACCCTAAACCCTAAACCCTAAACCCTAAACAGGCTTCCATCTTGTCTTGAGGAGCTGGAGCAGGACATGGCAACCGACCAGAAAGCCCTCCAGCGACTTGGGCCGCAGATCGCCGGGTTTAGGGTTTAGGGTTAGGGTTTAGGGTTTAGGGTTTAGGGTTTAGGGAAGGAAGTTTGGGGTGAAGAGCAAAGGGTAAGCCGTCCTGGAGAGACGCCCAGAGTCCGCACCACTTTGGAAGCCATTGCGCAGGAAGATCTTCAACCGCATCGATGCAGATGGAAGCGCCTGGGCAGACAAAGTCGCCAAGTGAAGGGCTGTCGGAGCACAAAGCGAGGCTCAAAGGAATGGCATTCTTCAGGTTACACAATGATTTCTGTTGCATTCGGAGTGCTGTCGCTCGGAAACTTGAAGAAATGCACGTGCATGGGAGTTTCGAAATTTCCGAAGGTTCCCCAAGCTGAAACGCCTGGGGACGTGCTGTACATCCCAAGAACCCTTAGTCAGGGAGGGTGCCTGAATTCCTAGCGGGCTGCTCTACGTGCATCACAAGTGCCGGTTCAGAGCTCCCATGCCAATCGAAAAACACACCCGAAACCCTGAACCCTAAACCCTAAACCCTAAACCCTAAACCCTAAACCCTAAACCCTAAACCCTAAACTGAATTCCCACTTAAAAGGAGCCCATAACTTTTTGGGTTCTTACCTTGACCTGCCTTGCTCAGCCTCCTGTCAGGTGGTGAAGTGACCCTTTCGGAGCTAATCGAGGGCGCGCAGCGGGTTCCTGGGCGAAGCCCTGAAGCTATGAAGTGCCCGCCCTAAGGTTTAAAACCCTGAACCAGCGCTTGCAGAAAAAGCCCTAAAGCCTAAACCCTACAGTGAACCCCAAAAAGTTGGAACTGAAGGTCCGTCACAAAGGCAAGTCCATTTTGAGGCCTGTTCCAACTCTCAAATGTTCCAAGCTTCATGTTACACTTGAGACTTGGAGCATTTGAGGTTCCAAGTTTCAGATTTGACGTTTTCAAATGTGTGAATGATGCAAAACTGTTTCAGAAATTCAATTGTCAAAGCAGTTCAAAGAGGAACCAATTGAATGTTTCAAATGGCTCAATTTGAAAGTGTTTCAAATGACTCAATTGAAAAGTGTTTCAAATGACTCCAAAGTCTTTCAAATGACTCAATTTGAAAAGTTTCAAAATGACTCAATTTGAAAGTGTTTCAAATGACTCAATTTGGAAGTTTTTGCATGACTCAATTTGCAAGTCTTTCCAACGACTCAAGTTGAAAGTGTTTCAATGAACTCAATTCAATTTGAAAGTGTTTCAAACGAGCCAATTTGAAAGTGTTTGAAACGATTCAATTTTGAAAAATTGGAAGTTTTTCAAATAAGTCAATTTGAAAGTGGTTCAAAAAGTCAATTCAAATGTTTCAAATGAGTTCATTTCAAAGAGTTCCAATGGGGTCAATTTGAAAGTGTTTCGAAATTCAATCTGAAAGTGTTTGAACATTCAGTTTGAAAGTGTTACAAATTACTTAATGTGAAAGCATTTCAAATGACTCAGTTTGAAAGCAGTTCACATGAATCAATTTCATTTTTTAAAAGCGTTTCAGACGAAATCAATCTGAAAAGGCAAAAAATGGCTCAATTCGAAAGTGTTTCAAAATGACTCAATTTGAAAGTGGTTCAAATGAATTACTTGAAAAGCTGTCAAATGACTCAATTTGAAATTGTTACAAAAAATCAAGATTCCAACTTTCAGTTTTGAAGAAACCTGAAATGTCAAGTTTTTGCTTTTTCTCCTGTCGAGTTTGGCCTTCACAATTTTAATTTGAAGATTCAAGTTGTGTTGCAAATATTGTTTCGATTCAATTTCAAAGTTTCAAACGGTTGATTTAGATGTTTATTTTCAGAAAACTGTGATTCAATTTGAAATTGTTCAAATGATTCAATGCTGTCCAAATTGTTTCCGATCTCAGTTTGAAAGTGTTTCAATTTCCCAATTTGGCAGTTTCAAACCACTCAATTTGAAAGTGTTTTCCCATGACTCAATTGAAAAGTGTTTTGAATGACTCAATTTGCGGTCTTTCAAATGACTCAATTTGAAAGTTTCAAATCACTCAACTTGAAAGTGCCTCAAGTGACTCAATCTGTTGGAACATGCTCGAAAAGGGTCCTTACGACCCGGAAGCCATGTTCCAAGATTCAGGGGTTCACCATAAACCCTACTTGGAGGTTCAGGGTACTTAGAACTCCAACCATAACTGCACATAGAAGCCCCCAAAGTCTTCTCTAAGTAGGTCACAGGTACTGTAGAATTACAATTGGGGTTAGAGGTACCCCTGAGCCTCGCAGTAAGCTTCTACAGTAAGCCCTTGAAACCTTTGGCCAGAACCCAAGCTGGGCCAGGTTTTGTCCCATCTGGTCACTGGTCAGGATGATGCTTCGTAGGGGCTTGGGTTGAGATCCTCAAAGCAACAGTTAGAAGCCCAAAACCTTGAATCCACTCAGACAAGCTCCACACGACAATCCAAGAATAGCTGCAGATGTGACTCGATGTGACAGACCCCACACGAGATGGTTCCTTGGGATGCCCAATCTCTAAGAGAAGCGCGACAAAGAAAGTTTGCTCCACCGCTCGGGACGTTTTGGTTGAGGCTTTAGGGTTCATTTTCACGCCCAACTTGTTTGCCATTCTGCTCTTATTCTGATTCTGCGGTATCGGGCCCTGTCTGTCCCGCACCAATAGACCACCTGGCCTGCTGCTGCTCTCTAAGGGTAGTTGCATGGGTTGTATTGGGGGTGTGTAAGGGGTCCCCTTTCCAGGGCCCAGACAAGAGACCATGTAACTGCCCTATGATGCTCAGGACCCTGAATTTCGTAGCCGCCTTCAAGTCATGGACATCGACGAGGCGATTCCGTTGATTCGAGTTTGCAAGGGCATGCAGGTGATCATCAACTTGGTAGCAGTGGTGCCGTACGTGTTTCCCTTTTTGGCTTCTAGGTTGCCTTGTAGACGTCATCCCCCCCCCCCCAAAAAAAAATCAAAACACAATCATAATCAAATAGTCGCTTATTCTAATATGGTTGATTACTGTGCTGCCAAATCCCTCAAATAACCCTTTAGCCCCGAGCAAAAGAAGCCCTGAACGAAAGACCTTTTCAGGTGTAGACGGGAGTGACACAACTCATTTCCTGGCTGTCCCCCTCTGACTTCCGTCCTCCATGTGGGTATTTCCCCCAATAGGGGTACCCTGGAAATACCACCAAAAATAGTACAATCCTTGTTATATGAGCCCCCCAAAACGGAACCCCTACTTTCGTAGACCGGACTCGGAGCCCCCTAGTTGTGCAGCTATGCTAGTGGCAACAAGAATCCTAAACCCTATAGGTTGGGATGTTCCCCCTTACACAAGCAGTCCTTCATAGGGATTCTAGTACCCCCCCCCTGTTATAATCCTTTGTTAAGGACTGCTAGTATAAGGGTGAACATCTCAACCACTAGGCCCTAAACCCTAAAACCTTGCACACTTCGGAGTCTCCCATGGGCCGCCAAGCTTGGATGGACCCAGAGATTCCCAAAGCTTTGAGAACCACGGAATCATTCCGGTTTAGGGTCTAGGGCTTATACGGCGCCAGAGTGCTCCAGAAGGGTTTAGGGTTTGGGCCGGAAGGTTCAGCGCCGCTTTTTTTCAGAAGTTCATGATTGCGGGAGCTGCTTTGGGGAAATGTTTTCCCAGTTCTATGAGTCCAAACAAACCCCATAGAAACGTTTAACAAAGACGTGTAAATTCTCCATAGAAAGCCCCCCCCCCCCACCCGTCCGAGCTTTGGCGGCTAAGGCCTTATATGAACACCCTAAGATTCACAAGAATCACCAATTTTGACCCTCATAATCAAACAAAGTAACGGTCTTTGGGGGATATTTTGGGGGAATGGTTTTTGACGACGGATCCTTAGAGACTGACCCCCAACCTCCGGGGGAAAGGTCGACCTCCAGCAGCTGTTTGAGATGATTGATATTGAAGGCCATTCAGGGTTCGAGGGTTTAGGGTTGAGGGTTTAGGGCTTGGGGTTTAGGGCTTAGGGTTTAGGGCTTGCGGTTTAGGGCTGAGGGTTTAGGGCTTAGGGTGTAGGGTTGAGGGTTTAGTTGAGTATTCAGGGTATCAGGGTTGAGTGTTTAGGGCTAAGGACCTTCTGGCACTTTGAAATTTTAGGTTGCCGCGTCATGGTCCCCTTGACCATTTTGAAGCTTGGTAAATGCACAACTGCCTCAAGACCCAGCCGAACTCTGCGTGAAGGTCTGTCAAGTGTGTCTATCAGGTAGCTCTGGGATCATGAGGGCTGGTGGACCAGAGTAGGGTCTGTGCTTGTCGGTCCCACACCTGTAGGTTGAGCAAGTAACCGACGCCTTGTGCGAACTTGTGTAGGGTAGTATGACACTTACAGAATCCCAAAGGTAAAGATTAGCCCCCAGAACGTGCGCCTTGCGGGGCACGGGCTGACGGCTATGTGCTGGAGCAGGTAGCTTGCTGCGCACTGCGTTGAGAGAAAGGGTTTCGGGTTTAGGGTGTAGAGTTTAGGGTTTAGGGTTTAGGGTGTAGAGTTTAGGGTTTAGGGTTTAGGGTTTAGGTTTAGGGCCTGACTTCCCAGCGCACGCACAGCCACGGCATCTCGAGGCGAGGGGCAGGTCAAGGTGATGGAGTTGCTGGGTGGCAATTCTTGGAGGCGTAGTCCTCACTCAGTGATGAAGACCCGTACCCCTAAGGTTGCCCTAAAGGTGCCCTTTTTATATACTCCTAACATGGCCCTGATATTCCCTTAGAGATCCTTAAAAAGGGGCCTCAAAACCCAAGGGTACAACCTTTAGGGTCCAAGGTAGAACCCCTGGACTCTCTGTGTTGTACAGGGGCCCGAGAAAGCCGAAGCCCGCAAAACTGGGAAGGTTGTCAACATTATGATCCCTGTTGGGGGTACGCTATATAGTAGCTGCCGTAATATAATAGGGATCCAAAAAGGGTGTAGGGTTTAGGGCTGAGGGTTTAGGGTATAGGGTTTAGGGTTTAGGGTTTAGGCTTTAGGGTTTAGGGTTCTTAATTTTGACAACCACCCAAGTGAGCTCCAAAAACCCGAAGGCCACTGGAAAACACCACTGAGGTTCGTCACGCCCCTCAGCCGATGGGTGCGCGACTCGAAGCCTCCCGGGTGTGCAAAGGGTTTAGGGTTTAGGGTTTAGGGTTTAGGGTTTAGGGTTTAGGGTTTAGGTTGAGTTTCGGGTTACTTCAAGGTTTAGGGTTTAGGGTCTAGGGTCCCTAAACCCTATGATGTGTCCCTGTGCCCTACCAAGCCGGAGGTGTCGGGACCTTCTAAGAACCTGCACTGGTTGGGCCAGGCTTCCCCAAGATAGGCTGTAGGCTACCCAATGGTATTCAACCCAAATACTACAAAACCCCAAACCCCAAACAGCAAACCCCAAACCCGAAACCCTAAACCCTAAACAACCTCCACTGAGCATAGAAGAAGCCGAGGACAGCGCCGCGCTTCGTCAAGTACAACATGATGCGCCTGATGCATCGGCACGAAGAGCAGCTGGCCTCAAGGGACTCAAGGGATCGTTAGGGTTTAGGGTTTAGGGTTTAGGGTTTAGGGTTTAGGGTTTAGGGTTTAGGGTTTAGGGTTTAGGGTTTAGGGTTTAGGGAAACCTAGGTACTATATCCCCCTTGAAAATTGTTTTTTATTCTTGCTTATACAAAACCCAAGAGGATGTTGAAAATATCATGTTTATTACGGTTCTCAGGGGAGTATAGATTAGGGTTTAGGCGTCCCAGCCAGCTTGTCCGAGTCTCGGCGCAAAAAGGTTTAGGGCCGTTTCGGGTTTAGGGCTTAGCAAAAAGGGTTTATATAGGGTTTATGTAGGGTTCAGAGTTCAGGGTTCAGGGTTTAGGCGCCCTTTAGTGTCGCAACGCTTCAGATACTGACGCTACCCTCGGCGTCTGGAGGGTTCCCCCCCCGCCACGCATCTGAGTAGCCTACGGCACACAAATACCCCTTGAAGCCCTAGCGACCTCAATACTACGGTAAACCCTTGAATCTGGCACTTCACAACCCTGAGGCTGTGGTGTTGGGGTCTCAGAAGCCCTGAAGTTGGGACCCTTCGGCCTTCAAACTTGGGCTTGCAAGTCGAAACATTGAAGTACTCTCCCCCACATTCCTCGGAGACAGCTTCGCACTTGCTGGCTCTTAGGGGGGAAATTTTTAGAAGTAAGACATTCGGCTTCTGTAGAAGGATACCAGGTGCCCAACTCCCCAACTCCCCAACTCCCTTTCAAGAGCTAGTCTGCTTAGGGTTTAGGATTGGGTTTAGGGTTCCTGCGATGCGAGCGACTTCTTTCCCCAGTATGCGCGTGCCTGTCAATACGTCCCAAATGCTCTCCATTCCCTGCAGCCCCGGTGAGTCTCAACTAGAGGTTGAAATTTATCAGCTGAGGCTTTAAGGCCAAATCTTAAAGTGACTCCGACTGGGCTGAAAAGGTTTGTCGGCTCCGTCGACGCTCGCTTCGTCCCTCGGCCGTGACCTGCGAGGGCTCGCCCTACGTTGAGCAAGAGAACCTACACCCTCAGACCCACACCTAGACCCCAAACCAAGACCTGCAATCCCTAGAAGGGTTCTAAGTTGGGGTTTCTCTTGAGGCCCTCCTGTAAGAAATAAAGTTCGAACTTACCTACGAGAGAAGGAACAAGCCCAAACCCTGTGTGAGTGTGAGAGCCGAAACCCTAACTCGGTCGTCCGAGTGTGAGCGATTATGCCCTAGACCCTAACCCCCCACCCCCCTTTTCCCCCCCTGCCCAAAAAAATAACAAAAACAGAAAACAGAGATTCATGGCAGCTTGTGGGGCACGAGTAGTCCTCAACCGGGAAAGAGGCGGGTCTTGCTGAGAGCCGTGAGATGCCTTGGCCACTGCAAGTTGTGCAGTTTGCATCTCCCCGCACTTCTCACAAAATGCTGCGCGCAGAACATATGGCGTGTGGCTTCGGGTAAGCTGAGCCTTATGACGTGGATCAGGGCAGGCGGATTAAAAGGTCTTAGAACGTCTTGGAGTTTCTAACTCCGAGCCGCGCCCACCATACTTGCCTACGCCAGTTCTTCTAACTTAGGGTCCCTTGTAGTGTCCCTCCCGTAGAGTGTAGAGGATTTCCAGTGTCAATTTCCAGCAAGAGCCGAGGAGCTTCTTGCAGGGCATCTCGACGAGAAGCTCGGTTGCACGCGTGCGGTTTCCTTTGGGCAAGGGCGTGCGGCAAGGTTGCTTGGAGCAAGTTGGAGATGCTGGCCCTTGCATCTGTCAAGCCTTATGGCTTCTTTGATCTGCGCCACAAACGGCCGAATTTCAGAAAGGTGCACATATTTGCAGACAAGCCGTGCCGTATTAAAAGTTCTTCTTGTGATGCATGCTGACTACATATGCGCTTGCAAAGCGGTCTAAACTAGGGTCCCTTTTGGTGCTCGTGTCGTAGTGCCACCCCGCATATTAGGGCACCCACCACGAAACCATTAAAGTGAACCACCGAAGTCACAACTGATCGTAGGAATTAATTTCACGGCATCTACTCCGACCTTGCCTCGTTGGGAGCTGTAAAGCACTCAAGCAGAAGCTTCCTGGAAGGAAGTCCTGTACCCTTACATGGGAGGTCTGGATCCATGATGATCCATGCTGTTGCTGACGTTTAAGCCATTCTTCGAGAAGTGGCCAAATGCACAGACAATGGTAAAAGGTGCACGGCCTCTCAGGAACTGAACAACACCTAACAATGAACTTGCCGGAGGGCATCCAGTCTTTCAAAAAATGGTGACAAGGCGGCCCTGCATGGGATGTCCCCGAGAACCCTTTATCAAATCCGAAGCTTCGTAAACCCGAAGTCCCTATTTACCCTAAACCTTAAGCCCGAAGCCCCGAACCCACAACCCTATTCATCAGGATGACTGATTGTCTCCGGTATCTCACCGGATCCAGGAGCCGGAGTTTTAGGGTGCAGGGTTTAGGGTATAGGGTTTAGGGTTTAGAGAAAACAGCAACAGTCTCGTTCAGACCGAAGCACAGTTCTAATAGGCCTGCTTTTTTTTCTTTTCTTTTGGGGGCCGCTGTGACCGTGTGGGGGGGGGGGGGGGGGGCCTTACCTACCAAACTTGGCCTTGCGCCGCGAGTTCAGAGTGGGACTGCGCTTCACGTACTAGCCGAGCAGGTAACCTGTAACCTTTTGGGGCATACATACAATCCTACCATAATTGAAAGGTGAACCTTGTTCTCGGGTCAGGGTACTCAGCAACTAATGAATCATGGCCCTTGGACCCTGAAGAGTCCAACCCGGGACCCTAAACCCCAAACCCTAAACCCTAAACCCTAAACCACAAGTCTTCTAGCTTCTCAGAAGTGGAGGATCTCCGAGTCTTCCAGAAGCACTGAAGAGATGGAAGCAGGCCGCGGGCGGTGCAGGGTGTAGCCTTCTTGGGGATATTTTCGATTTGTACCGATATCTTTTCATGTATGTATATGTATATATATACATATATATATATATGTGTGTGTGTGTTTTTCATGTGTATATATATATATCTCATTATACAACCCCAGGAAAATTTTCAAACAATAGTTAATCAATTGAGGCTCCAAGGGGAGTATAGCAGGGAGATGAAGCATGGAAGCTTTTGGTTTCAGAGCGGACTTGAGTTCAACCGACACCTTGTCATTGGACGGCAGCATGTGATTGACGCGAATGCAGCATCTTCTATCAGTGTGGCGTAAGACAAACAAGATTCGTAGCTGAATCCGCGCAGGCCTCGGATCAGGCCTCGGATCAAGCCTTCTCGGCAGCATGACTTTCGAGTCGCTGCGACACTCTCGCAGCGAAGGCTGGGCGCTGGAAGGGCTTAGATTCCTGCATCTAGCTGTCGTCCTTCAGTCGGTCTATGAATAACGCGTCTCTTGTTGGGATGTGTTAATGTGTTCGGACATCTTTCCATCGTGCATCCTGTCCAAGTCCCTGGCTTGATCCAATGCAGCCTGTCACGATTTCTGAAAATGTTTGGGCTGCGACCAAAAGGTCCTGCACTACAAGTATGCCTAGCACTATAGCAGGGACACGTGCAAGCTTGACGCCATGGTGTTCGCGAAGTAGAATGTCGTGCAAGCGTTGCGTGGCCTGTGCTCTCTGCCGGCCTTGTTGTCAAGGTGGGTTGTTAAATGCTCCGCGCCTGCCGGCAGTCTGCAAGATTCGATATTTCTAGTTGCGCAGTGGCCACATACAGCCAAAGCCGGATAAAACACGCCTTCCGCTGCGCAAGCTCATTGTCGTGCATGCTCGACATAATATGTCCTGCAGAGCTTCGACTCTTGAACTTTGCACAGCATGCGCCCAAAAGTTCGCGAAAGTCCCACGACGAAAGCCAGGCAAGGTCCCGGCCCATCCGGGCCACCAAATCCGAAATCCATCGTTGTGTTCATCTGTCCTCCACGGCTGGGAAGTCTGGTGCCCCAAGCGCCTGCGTTAGCTGTATAGTCACCATTCACAGGATCAGGGCTCCATAGATAGTTCCGTTTTGCCGGGGTTTAACCCTAAACCCTAAACCCCAAACCCCAAACCGCAAACCCCAAACCCCAAACCCCACCCACCCCAGCCTCAGCGGGGGCCGGAGGGAACCACACCATGAGGGGGGAAGGAGGACTGGGTGACACTGCACCATATATGGCCCAGGGCGTGTGGGTTGTCGAAAATTTTCGGGATTGATACGAATGAGATTCTTAGACTCTTAGACGGTTGGGGCATGTGGCTTCGGGTTGCAGGCAGAATTGAAGGCTGTCTTTGAGTGGTTCGGGTAGCGGTTTTGCTTTGAAAAAGACTTCGGCCAGGTCGCACACTGCTGCTGCTAGTGCTGCTGCGCTGCGCGATTTGTCCAGGGAGCCCAATCTTGCTTGCTTATGCTGCTTATAACCTCAGTATATCATAAGCTCAGAAGTAAGACCCTATAAGACCCTGGAATGTTGTTTAAGGTCAACCGGGCTCGGCTTGTAGCGAGGCGCCATCAGCGGCATTCACGGGTTCCCCTGCTCTCAAAAAACTACCCCCCCCCTAGGTTCCCTAGGTTCCCTAAACCCTAAACCCTAAACCCATAACTAAGGCTATTTAGGGATAGTGGGGGAACCCATGAGGCATGCTCAGCAGCCAGATGAGCCTACTAAGCGTGAAGCGTCACAAGACGATGATGGAACCGAAGGCTTTCGATACGGTGGCTTGGCCGCAGTGCGGGTTTAGGGTTGGAGTTTGGGGTTTAGGGTTTGGGGTTTAGGGTTTAGGGTTTAGGGTTTGGGGTTCATGATGTTGCTCGTCTGCGTTTGGCGGGTGGGGCATTTTCGCTCCTTGCTAGGGCACCAGAAATTTTAACGCTGCGCGACCCGCCCCGGCCGCCCCTGTCCAGCGGCGAGGCAAACCTGTTGTAACAGGCCGGCTCATGTATAGGCCACATGTGGACGCACCGTCCGCGGACGCTGTCGGCGAAGGGGGGGGTTACCCATTCCAAGAAAAGAAACCGTTGGCGTGATCAGCGATGCATCAGCTGCTTTGTACTACAAACACCTACGGCCCGAGGCCTCGGCGGATTGAGAGGAGAGTTTAGATCACCGCCCCTTAGTTGATTGAGATCAGCTGCCAGTAAAGAAGGGGGGAATGCCACCTGTGGATTCCATTGCCGTTTTGCGCGCTACATTGTTGCAGCACTCTGCTCCGGCGATGCTAGGAGACAACCACAGAGCTGGAGTGGGTGGAGGATGCCTTGGATGAGGTCCATGGCTGGGAAACCCTAAAACCCAAAGTCCTGAAGGCCTCTCACCGTGTGGCACTGACGGGGTGATGAGACATCCTGCAGGAAATTGTGGAGCAACCACGCTTCTCCAAGAGGGCGCATCTGCCGTCGTTGTTCAAGGACCAACGATTTAGGGTTGAGGGTGTAGGGTGCAGGGTTTACGGGGGGGGCATGGGCGGCTTGACACGCGGCCAAGTGCTCCATGGAAGTGCCACGATCGGGGTATTGGCGAGTCGCTCCACAGTAGGGTCCACAAACTGCTGTGGCACGAATGTAGCATCACGTGGGTGGAGAGTTGGACCGAGCCCGACGGTGCAGGACCAGTGCTCGACGCAGCAGGAGACTCTCCAGATGCAAGAGAAAGCGCTGGCGTCAGCTTTCCATAATGCCGTGGAGGCATGGTGATAAGACGGGCTGGGGATTGGAATTCTCACAACTTTGCGGCTTTCACGAACCAGGAATCTCTCTGACACTGCAGCCCTTCCTGTAGGCCTTGCACGCCCCAACGAGGAGGTCATAGTGTACGGTTCAGGATGGATTTGGGGTAAGTCCACTAGGAAGCCATCTGAAGCAGTGATGCTACTTCGGCAGTGCAACGTAATGTTTTGGCAGCACGCTTATTATTGTTGGTGGCCCAACACCCCTCAGCATCCCCCTCAACCCTAACCTTACTTTCTTCCGTGGCATCGGGGGTGGTGCTCCTCCCCGTGCGCTTCCTCCTAAACCCTAAGGTAAAGTCCTCAAAACCCATGAGCCCTTAGCCTGGCAAACCTTGGTTGTCGTTTCGACCTTTGCTCTTTCGACATAATCATTCATGCAAAAGTCCTGCAGGGAAAAGCATGCATGAAAAAACACACGTGTATGTAGCACATATGTAATATGCCTACGGAGTTTGTGTGTCGACGCATGTGCACATACAAGTCTCTACAGAAAATACAACTGCACATCCCAAAGCTCAACACCAGGTCTTCAAGCAGTCGCTGCTGGACGCCACCGACCAGGCAGTTCACAGCTCCTTGTCCTCGCTGGGGCTCGCGACGAAGGACGGCACGAGATGTTTGAGATTTTAGGGCAGGTTGCACATGGTTGTGCCCAAAGCCCATTACCTCTCATGTATGCTGAACTCAGGCACCTTCCTGAAACAAGCTGTCTTGGTCTCCTGGGCTGTAGGGAGTATAGTGCTTATAGGATGCTTGATCTCAGGGTAGACAAGGGTCGAACACAAGAATGAACGGAGGTGCAAAGGCACCTCATTCCCTAACTGTAGGGTTTGGGGTTTGGGTTTAGGGTTTAGGGTGCTCTGAGTTTGGCTTGAAAGGCCCTAGGAATGACCCGGAAAGAGTGCAGCCCAAAGCCATCGAAAACTGAAGCCAAGAAGTCTACAGTGTCGGCACCCTAACTCCTAAACGCATGCGCCCCAAAAAGCCTGACTGACTTCAGAGCCTCCTGGGTTCTGAGCCTGCACGCTTGCAGTACAGCCACTCCAACCTCCAAGGCGGAAGTTGTGTCGGATTCCGACATCCTAGTAAGAACCAGTAAGCTTAGGGAGCAAGAAGCTCAAAGACCACCGGAGCTTGAGCTGCTCAAGAGGTTCGGGGTTTAGGGTTTAGGGTTTAGGCTTGAGCCCTTGACCCTTTCTGCACAGGGCTCCCGACCCTTAGTTAGGTGAATCGGCTGGAGGCGCTTCGGATATGGCCCTAAGCCTTACGCAAGAAAAGGCGCTTATTTTTTCCAAATTTCAATGGCATACGGAGATTCACGGATGATTTTTTAATTTACAGAATCATGTAGCACAGTTCATTGTATGATGGTTGCAGGGGGCGTACCTTCTTAGCCGCGTCAGGAGGCAAATGTCCTCCGGGGCGATGCTCATCCAGCACCAGAGAGAGCCTAGGTGGAACCAGTGGATTTAGAGTGTTCAGGGTTGAGGGTTCCACGATACTTGGCACAGAAATTAGGGTTTAGGGTTTAGAGCTTAGGGTTTAGGGTTTGGGGTTTGGGGTTTAGGGTTTAGGGTTTAGGGCCAAGAAGAGCCCCTTTGTGAGAAGCTGACTCTCCGCTGCTGGGGGTTGAGGACTCAAAAAGAAGGGGTTTTGGCTGTCAGTAGATGGTTACGCTACCTTACCCGAACACAGTCGCACGTCTTCATCTCCGACTCCTTGAAGCTGCCTTTAGACAGGAAGAATGGGAGGTTAACATAGGCTAACCTTACTTCAAACCGCCTAGCTTGAGAAGCCTGCGCCCTCTGAACAATCTTGCTGGACCTGAAATCTTCTGAGCTTTGGAAGACCCCGAAATCGTCTGAGCTTTGGACAAGAGCCTAGGCCGGAAATCGCAACTGCGGCATGGTTCGAAGATGAGGACTTTGGGGCGTGCCAGCGATGAAGAGCAGCGAGCCCATCAACACCCGCAGAGTCCCCCCCCCCCTCAATTGGGGTTTAGGGTTTAGGTTTACAGGGTTTCAAGTTTAGGGTTTAGGTTTACAGGGTTTAAAGTTCAGGGTTTGGGGTTTAAGTTGAGGGTTTGAGGTATATATATTTTTTCAGAAAACGTCATACTGCAGGCCCGAGTTTTATGTACATGCCTTTTCGGGCTCTTTTTTTATCATAAGTATTTGCAACCTAAACAATGAGATGGATGGGTTTACGTCGGGAGGGTGGGCTGAGCAATGAGATAGATGGGTTTAAGTATGAAGTGTAGGCTGAACTACATCAGCTACGTTACCTTTAGCCCTTGGTCATAGAATCCTTACTCTGTGACTGGTTATAGAAGGGAGGGGAAAGGATAACAAAAAGGGGGGGGGGGGAAAAGACAAAAAAAAAAAAAAAAAAAAAAAAGGGGGGGAAGGGGGGGGGGGGAGGGGGGGGGGGGGGGAAAGAAAAAAAAAAAAGGGGGGGGGGGGGGGGGGCAAACGATTTTTTTTTTTTTTTTTTTCTTCCACCCCCCCCCCCCTCCCCCCCCCACTTTTTTTTTTTTTTTTTTTCCTTCCCCCCCCCCCCCTCCCCCCGCCCCCCTCCTTCTTCTTCCCCTTATAAAATATGTATGTTTACAATATGTATACAGAGAATCCTACTATATGCTGTAACCTTTTTTTTTGTACCTGTATCTTTGCTTTTACTTTCATCCGCACATCCGTCGCAAGGTACGGTCCCCAACTCATCCAGCTCCATGCGCAGGGAGCGTCAGTACATACAGATATACTGAGTCAGATAAATATTATCTAGATACATATATGTACATATAAATTAGTAGTTTTACATATAATTACAATGTACTTTGGGAACTACGACTGAACGACGTGCATGTTCTTTTGGTAGATAAGCATAAAACACAAGATTTCTTCCATTATTTAACGATAATCTAGTGAGTTGCAGTGACTGTGACACACCCAGCACAGACTCGTGCTTGTGTCAAACCCAACATCTTTTCCGGATAAACGACATATGTTGCTGAGAGAAGATCTGTTTATCGTGAAACGAAATCGACATAAATAAAGATACATATGTGATACTGTCTATTACGCACACACGTTTATACACACTTCATCCCTGATCGAATGTAGCAACTTTTCACACTCTATAGTGATAAAAACATGTAAACAGGCCCATGTTCGTCGTGGTCCTCGTGCCTGAGCATCGTGGCTGTCCCAGTCTTCAGGGTCTTGCCTGTCTCATCAGACTACTGATGTGTTGCTGTATATGACCGCCAAGTAGAACTTGCTGAACTTTCGCATCAACTTTCATACCGTCATCATTTCTCCTCAAGAATAGTTCGGTAGGGACATCACTGGTGCTGTGATATCCTGGTACTTGTTTACTCGTCGAATATGAGCGAGCCGCCTGATGCGGCGTCGCGTGTCGGCGGTAGACCGTCTCCCGATGACTTAGAGAAGGACTTGGAGTCTCTCATGAACGAGGAATCAGAGAGACGAAACATGGGCTCACCACACATGGCTTCTTCAGCTCCAGAGCTAGCTGCGTCTGAATTGCCTCAAGATGCAGCACATCCACCTCCAGCAAAGCGTCTTCGTGGTGCCCAGCTGCTACTACAGCCGCAATATCGCGTAGATTTTATATATATGTCGTGTAGTATTATCTTGAACTGTCATATATATATATAATCTTTCCATCGTGGGGTTGCATGTATAATGCAATGTCTGTATAAACCTTTCCATGTCACAGCATTCGTTTTCTCTTGTCTTGTTAGACTGCTATACACAATATTTCTGATATCGTCTTATGTGTCCACTGCGTGTTCCTCCATAGACCTCCCACTGTCCTGCCATGGGTTTTATACATTATCCGGTGCATAACTACCATTGTTGGATCGTATCATGTGTTTCATATCCATTAGCTGTACACATGCCGCTATGGTGTACTGCAATATCATACACACATACTTTTCATTTCCAGGTTCCGTGCCTTCTCAGACCTTCACGAACAAGATCCCCCCGGTGGTGAGATTCCCCATCTTCCTGCTGTTGATCCTGTTCCGCCGCCCAAGACGATTCTCGACATTGTGTCAGAGTATAAGTCCTGGAGTGTTGCCACGCATCCTAACGCCTGTCGTCACACTTGCCTCGTCCTGGCCGTCACCAAGTTTCTGTGCGACATGAATGCCACCAACTACATGATGTCCAATGTTCAGAAACTGATACTCTTCCTCTTGATTGACGGAGACAACTGGCGTGCACATAAGAGACAACTATTCCACCTTTGTGATGGGGCGTGGGACATGGAAGAAAAATTGAGCTTGGAAGCTTGGGACTTCTTGTCAGCCGTCGAGGGCATCTTTGTTTCCATTGCCACAAGCATCGAGAACGATGAAAAGAACATACTCTGGTCGTGGGCAGACGCCAGAAACTATGTTTACAAAGCCATCGAAGGGTGCAAACGCCGTGGGGAGCTCGTTGACGTCTGTGCTCGTATAGCGAAGGAACATAGTGATCACGTCCGAGTTGTTACTAGCAACAAAACATGGAAGGCGACATGGGCTCGAAGAGTCGCTGATATGCTTGCTTCTTACAGGAAGGCGTGGGAGACTCAGACACACTCCGTGGTTCTCTCTCGTCTTTTCTTGCAAGACTGCGACATGCCCATGCCAAAATCCCAAGGTATATGCTTCAGTGACATCTACTTGACTTCCAACTGGGAGATTCGCTCCAAGCATGAGGCACAGGACTGTTACGTACGGTTCGACTACCCTTACTTCTACGAGAATACCCTTGCAGGAGACCCGTCCATCAATCTCCCTATGCTCAAAGAAAGGCTGAGACTCTTCCTGACCTCTCTCTACTACAAGAACGAGGATGCTTTTCAAGCCAAGCTATGCTTTCTTTGTGCTGCCTTCCAAGGCGTCTGTACGGGAAAGATGCTGTTCCAGGTTGGTCGTGGAGGGGATGGTAAAGGCATGGAGGCTATCCTAGATGCAGCTCTCTTTGGTTCGAAGTCTTCGGCTAGTCTGGACAGTGGTGTATTCTTGGACCGAGCGGAGTTCAGAAAAAGTGCCGAACTTGTTTGGAACAAATCGAATGTCAGGATCCAGGAAATGGACTCCAAGGTTCGCTTCATATCCGAAATATGGAAACGGTTTGTGGTCGACGAGGAGATCGACTGCAGGGTAAACTATGGTTTCACTACCAAGAGACGCTTTGGTACGTCCATGAAGATCCAGGAACTGAACTATGAGAATGTACCGGTGATTGAGGAAAGCAAGGACATCAACAAGGCGTGCGAGCAACTTCGGAGACGTGTGGTCTGCATTCGCATGGGCACATCGACCTACACGTTGAACCCAAACGAAGTTGACCATGATCGTGGCATTTACCTTCTGATTCCACAAGAGGAATTAGCGTCGGATTTACGTCATCCGGTCACTGCGTCGTTGTACCTCCGTGATTGGTGTCTGCCCTTCTTCAGAGAGAACCCGGTTGGGGAGTGTCTGACAATGTTGCATGATCTGAAGTCCATCAGTGACAAGCTGGAGATGGACACTCAGTGGCTTGCTGCAAAGTTGTCCGGTCGTGATCTAGTTCCTCCTGGGGATGATCGCATGCTGGTCGATGCCAATGACGAAATAGTTGAGTTGGTTCATGCCTCGATGCCGACCAGACCCATTCTCAAGGAGTACTTGTTACACAAGATTGATGAGTTCCCAGGCTGTATTACATCAACTCGCGGTCGTACCACGAAGCTTCAGCGGTTCGTGTCTGCAATTGACCATTCCTCCCTCAAGCTCTTCAGACAAGTGGATCATAGTACTTTCGAGAAGCTGCAGATCAACTGGGCGAGGCTAAAGGAGTCGATGGCTCGACATGGCGGGGTTAACATCTTCGGGGATTGGACTCACTGGACATGCCCATTTGACTTGAAGCACATCATCCAAACATGGGACGGGAATGCATTTCAGGACCATAGTACTTTCCTCCTCCAGCACTGCACAGTCAGAGGAGTTGGTGATGCGGTATTGCGATCGGCTGTCACTAGCCTGGACGAGACTGTAGACATTGAGCGACTCAAAGCATATGCACTTCAAGGAGTGGATCGTCGTCAAGAGATGCTTGAAAGGTACATTGCGCGACACGAGACTGCAGGACTCACGTCCAGTGACGGCATGGCCACCGTTACGGTGGAGTACTATACCCAACCAGGGTACGGTCGTCTACTTGCTAGAGGTGCAGCAGGTCAGAAACTCACAAGAGAGGCTAGAGCCGAAGCTTTCTTCCACTGCTCTGAAGTTGACGCTGCTTGTTGCCATCCACGGCTACTGCAACAAAAACTTTTCGACCTCGATGTCTGGTCCGATGGCAAATACACCATCCTAGCACTCTTCATCAAGCATTACCAAGCGTGGCGCTACTGTGTGGCCGACTACATGGATGTCTCTGTGGGTCAGGCCAAAACGGAGCTCATTCGCATTTTCTACGGAGGCAAACCCTCCTGCGAAATTCCCTTCCTCATGAAGCTCTGTGCAGAGGTCCAGACTGCTGCTCTCTCCATTGTTCATCATCCAAGCTCAAGAATGTGGCGGGATCTTTACTCGGATCGAAGGAATCCAGAGTTCTCACGTCTCTCTGGCATTCTGTCAATGGAAGAAGCCAAAATGCCTGAGTCAGTGTCAAGTTTGATGGGACAGGCTATGTGTGTACTGCTGTTTGATGGTGCCTACGTGCAGTGCCGTAATCTACATGATGACATTGCTCTGTGTCATGGGATGGAGACGCGCGACTCCAGGGTGGGGTTGCAGATCCGTCGGTGGGCTCCTTTGGCTTGCAAGTCCGTTCCTCGTCTTTTGGTCCGTCGAGGTCAAGTGCAGTTCTTTCGGACTGAAGATGTCGCAGACCTAGGAAACTGTTTGCTGACGTCCTTGTACTACATGGAAGATGACCTCGAACTGGAGAGCCTCAGTCAGAGCGATCTGCGTCACGGTATGTCCGCTCGGGATTTCAACTACATGACACTGGGCATGTCGCAAGGCGATGACGGCCAAGCTTATCTGCTGGAATGGCTTCCACACGGCTTCATTCGAGAGGAACTTCCGAATGGAGCATTGCTGGCCTTCCATGAGCCCAATTCATCTGGTACTTCGGGACATTGGTGGGCGGCCAAGATATGTGGTGACACAGAGGTCGCTATCTTCGACTCCCAAGCGCCAGAGTGTCTCCTAGGTGTTGCCTTCACCGTTTTGGAAGACGTTCTTCGTGAGACCCAGACTGCGACTGCTTTCATACTCACCCGTGCTCACACAGTAGAAACTCTGCGCGTGCCAGAGTCGTCGGTGTATGACTTGCGTGGAGCCGGCCCAGACGACCCGGATGATCTCGTATCCATCGTGACTCCTCGTGACACTTGCTTAGAATGTGCTTCACCGCTGTATCCTGCACACGACGTCCAAGGCCGACTATACACATTGAATGGCGTGAAGAAGGTCACGGTCACGACCAAGCGTTGCTCTCGCAAAACGTGTCGAACACATCACCATTACAACTACAGGAAGGTAGACGGGCAGATGTACCACAGCCTGTCGCTTGGGGACATGAAGTACGTCTTTGTGAATAGTAAAGTCGGCTTTGACCGCACATTCCTGGACTATCACGAGGCCTTGCAGTTCCGAGGAGGTATCAGCCACAATGCCATTGAGTTCGCTCAGTCACATACTCTCTGGAATGACCCGGAGCAACACTACCGCTGGCACCGTGAATACTCGACTGCGCAGCTGTATTATGCTGTGGTTCAGGAAGCGCGTGAGATGTGGTGTGATTCCAGAAGCAACCAATCAGCCAGACTCTTCAACCTAGAGGTAACTCAGCCTCTCTCCGAGGCCTTCCTTTCTGAGTACAAGGATTGGTGGCAGCGTCAACAATTCTCTCCAGCGGAATGGCGCCGTGTCAAGGAGGTCGTTATGGACGGGCGCGAGAAGGTCGCAGCAAAGTGCCCAGGCAACACGCCTGCCCGCGTCGGTCGTCCCCGCAAGGATGGCCGCATCAGACAACATGAAAACGGATGGTTCATGGCCATCGATCCCGCCACAGGGCTTGTGATGTCGGCAACCAATATGGCTTCACCAGAGAATAATGACATCGCTAAACAAGTCCTACAGAACATTGTGGAACGTGCTCCCAACCTGGACTGCGTCATCTATGACAAGATGTGCGTATGTCAAAAGGCATTCCTGTCCGACGCGAAATTTCGCCAGGTGAAGTACTGGTGCATTGACCGCTTCCATGCCAGGGCCCATGGTGACACATGTACATGCTGTCCTCTCGTCCATCGGCGCCTGGACCTTCGCCTACGCAATGTCAACTCGTCCATTGCCGAGCAGACCTTCTCCTGGTTTCGCGGCTACGCATCTACCTTCAATGTGAAGAATCCATTGACGCATGTCTTCTATGTCCTACTGTACGTCAAGAAGCATAACCTCTTGATCCGCAAAGACTACCTTCGACACTTGAACCCTTTCAGTGCTCGTGCCAAGGCTGCCAAGAATGCTCGGGTGCTCATCCGTCCAGCTTCGAAGAAGTACATCTGTCGGCGTCCGTCTGCATCTTTGTCGTCCCACAGAGTCTTGAGGAAGCCGTCGAAGAAAGTCATCAAGCATCACATGAAGAAGAAGTGAGACGTACATAGGTACTGTGCGACATGCGTGCCGTGAGGGTTTTCGTACCTTGTCATATAGGCTTACATATCATACGATGCTCATCAAATGGTATTCCGGGATATACATGATACACATATGCTTATGAGATGGAAGTACGAGATCACACGGTTGCGCTAGCATGTCACACGGGATACACAGAGGACATCCAAAGTGTCTTCTCACTATAAGTCTGAAAGCACACGCGGGGGCATACACGAGAAAAGTAAAAAACGTGATTCCTCGAGATTCAGTGCAGCACCATGCGTGGGTATAATATGGTATATAGATATGCACGGATATGCTTTGATGACTGAGGTTCAAGCCTCAGCTTCTGCGAGTGGCGACGTCAGATGTTATGATATTGCCGCGCTTAGTTGGGCAGGCTTGTGTTCTTATAACATCCTGTGTATGTTGTTTGTCCACATATACTAAAAATAAGGTAAAATCACGTAAAATACGTGTTTTGGACACGAAAAATACAGGCCTGTATTCCGACGCACTCTCTCTCTCTCTCTATATATATATATATATATGGTCACCCCCCCCCCTCGACAGACCCCGGAAGTATATTTCCGGTCTGTTCAGGAAGGGGGGGGGGAAAGCACCGCTCCAAAATTCCTCGAGTTTCCAAAAATCCAAAAACCCAAAAAATCCAACCAGGGTTCCGCTTTTTGGAAACTCGAGCGGGAGCCTCAAAATCCTAAAACCGAGCAAATTCCTCGAGTTTCCAAAATTCCAAAATTCCAAAAAAATCCACCCCAAGGTTTGGATTTTTGGAAACTCGAGCGGGAGCCTCAAAATCCAAAAACCGAGCAAATTCCTCGAGTTTCCAAAATTCCAAAAATCCAGAAAAATCCACCCCAAGGTTTGGATTTTTGGAAACTCGAGCGGGAGCCTCAAAATCCCAAAATCGAGCAAATTCCTCGAGTTTCCAAAATTCCAAAAACCCAAAAAAACCCACCCCCAGGTTTGGATTTTTGGAAACTCGAGCGGGAGCCTCAAAATCCAAAAATCGAGCAAATTCCTCGAGTTTCCAAACTTCCCAACCTTGGGGTGGATGTTTTTGGATTTTTGGAATTTTGGAAACTCGAGGAATTTGCTCGATTTTTGGATTTTGAGGAAATTCCTCGAGTTTCCAAAATTCCAAAAACTCCAACCCAAGTTTCGGATTTTTGGAAACTCGAAATTCCAAACCTTGGGGTGGCTTTTTTTGGATTGTTGGAATTTTGGAAACTCGAGGAATTTGCTCGATTTTTGGATTTTGAGGAAATTCCTCGAGTTTCCAAAAAAAATTCCAAAAACTCCAACCCAAGTTTCGGTTTTCTGGGAACTCGAGCGGGAGCCTCAAAATCCAAAAATCGAGCAAATTCCTCGAGTTTCGAAAGCTCCAAACCTTGGGGTGGGTTTTTTTTGGATTTTTGGAAGTTTGGAAACTCGAGGAATTTGCTCGATTTCTGGATTTTGAGGCTCCCGCTCGAGTTTCCAAAAACCCAAACCTTTGGGGTGGATGTTTGGATATTTGGACTTTTGGATTTTTAGAAACTGGATTTTCGATAAGAGTTTTTCAGGGGTTCTTATATGATTCATTATTATGTTTTAGGCTGCCTATTAAGTTTAATAATGTTCCTGATCTCTTTAATGGGAGTCCTCATTTAATTAATAAGACTCCTAATCATTTTACTAGCATTCTAAGTGATCTTCAATGGGATTCCTGTATTTGTTTAATAGGGTTCGTATTAGATTTTAAGGATACCTATTAAAGGACTTTATTGCGTTTAGTATTGATTCCTATTCAGTTTAAGCAAATGCCAAATAATTGGAATACGATTCTGAGTAATTGTAATAGCATTCTTCTTCCTAGTTAGTTTTAATAAAAGTCTTAGAATTTTAATAAGCTTCATAACAGATTTTATATATATTGCTATTAATTTCAATAGGCTTCTTATTCATGTTCATAAGATGCCTTACAATTTCTAATTGGGTTCCTTTTTGCTTTGACAAGCTTCCTATTCATTTAAAAAGGCTTCTGAATAATTGGAATAGGCTTCGTATTCATTTTAACAGGGTTTCTCATTCATGTTGACAGGATTCCTAATAATGTTCATAGGATTCCTACTAGATTCCACAGTGCTCCGATTATGTTTTTAAATCCTGTTCCCTATTCATTTCAATTGGACTCGAAGTAATGTTATTGTAACTCTTATTTGTTTTATTAGCAATCCTATTAATTAATGTTTTAATAGGGTTCATTATAATTCTAACAGTACGACTCTTCTTGTTTTAAATTTTGAAGGGCCCACATTACTTTTTAATCGAATTTTATTGGCTCCTCTTAATCCTTTAATAGGATTCATCTTCATGTTAAACGGATTCCTGTTACTCTTAAAAAGAATTCATAGATTCTTTTGTAGGGTTCCTATTAATTTTAATAGCATTCCTATGAATTCAAAAGGGTTCCTATTCGTTTGAATGGCCTTCCTATGGTTCCTCTGAATTTAGGACGCCAAGAAATTTTAATAGGAGCTTCTACGTATATTTCAACCAGGTTCTTATTAATTGTACTAGGATTCTTACTAAGTTTTCAAAAAAGACTCGTCTTAATTTCAATAGGGTTCTCATTCATTTTAATGGGGTTCCTATTGATTTAAATCGGATTCCTATTGAACTCATACGAAGCCTATGAATCCTAATAAACTCAATAGGAACCCAAGTAAAACTAAGAGCAATCTTATTAAAATTAATAGCAATCCACGATGTCGAGCAAATTGTTCAGGTCCTTACAGCATGCGTCCTTCTCACATCTGTCTGCATCTTTCATTGCGAACACAAAACCGTACTAATCGAAAAAATATGCTCTATTGTGTGTTAACGTGTCTGGCTACTGTGTGCAGCTATGCTGTCCGTCGCGCCCTCAGCCCTTTTTTGCTTCCGGGGTCTGTCGAGGGGGGGGGGGGGGTGAGCATGTCTGATATATATAGATACACACATTTTTGTGTAGTCCTTAGTCCTTGTATAACCTAAGTAGCCTCAAAAGTACCCCTAAACCCTAAACCCTAAACCCTAAACCCTAAACCCTAAACCCTAAACCCTAAACCCTAAACCCTAAACCCTAAACCCTAAACCCTAAACCCTAAACCCTGAACCCTGAACCCTGAACCCTAAACCCTAACCCCTAAGCCCCCTAGGGTCCCTCCTTTGGCCCCTTCGTGGAAGGATCGCTCCAGCCTGAAGTCTATCTTGTACAGCAACTTGGTCGTCTTTTTGGTTTCTGGGTTCCTTATAAACTGATCAACCCAAAGAATTGTGCCCTTATCACAATTTTGGGTTTAGGGTTTAGGGTTTAGGGTTACTGGGATACCCAGGCAACCACAATGCCTTGGGCCTCCCGAGCGATGAGGAGCTGCAACACTGTTTAGACGAGGCCCTTGGAACGGACCGACTGGATCTCATGGACCTGGAAGATATCAAAGCCTGGTGGGACTTGCGAAGGTGGGGCCGAAATTGTATTGAGGGGTTTTAACGTTTAAAAACCCTAAATTGTATTAAAAGTGCAGCCCCTCCCCCCCCCCCCCCAGGTTGCCGAAATCTTGCGTGCGCCAGGTACATACAGATCGACTTTATGGATGAGTCTGCGATGATGGACTACTGCGGAGTTCTGACCATCATACTGCTGGCTGCCTTTGCGATCGCCGGGGTGTTAGACTCTTTGTGGGTTTAGGGTTTAGGGTTTAGGGTTTAGGTTTTACGGTTTAGGGTTTTGGTGCTTTACCGCAACTTTGGGTCCTGAGCCTTTTTTTGGTTTTTGGGCTTCTTAATATAAGGCAGCTAAAAGCTTTAACTTATAGCCTAAACCCTAAACCCTAAACCCTAAACCCTAAACCCTAAACCCTAAACCCTAAACCCTAAACCCTAAACCCTAAACCCTAAACCCTAAACCCTAAACCCTAAACCCTAAACCCTAAACCCTACTAAGTGCAGCCAAGGACTGGCTGGCTCACGCCGACCTCTTCTCCCCTGGGCTGCTATTGATCATGGTACTCAGCGGATGCCTGAGCATCATCATGCTAGGTTTTAGGGTTTAGTGTTTAGGGTTTAGGGTTTAGGGTTTAGGGTTTAGGGTTTAGGGTTTAGGGTTTAGGGTTTAGGGTTTAGGGTTTAGGGTTTAGGGTTTAGGGTTTAGGGTTTAGGGTTTAGGGTTTAGGGTTCCCTTTTGTTGGGTTCTGGGCTCCCTTATGAAGTAGCCAACCCCAAAAAGGGGTGCCCTTGTCATAAGATGATTCCTGGGCTACTCAGGATGTTATTCAGGTGTGCATCGACATCAACCACATCCTTGAGCGCGACAGATCCTGGGCTCCCATTTCGAGGTGATCAGAGGGTGTTCCCTGAACCCTAAACCCTAAACCCTAAACCCTAAACCCTAAACCCTAAACCCTAAACCCTAAACCCTAAACCCTAAACCCTAAACCCTAAACCCTAAACCCTAAACCCCTCCCAATGCAGGAGCTTGAGTTAATTCCTCATGTCATCCCTTTGCGACCCCTCAAAGGACGCGGCAGCGTGATTCTGGTTCGGGGGGGGCGAGTGAAAGTACGCACTAGCTCTATGCAGGAGTTGTTTTCTAACGTTTGGTGCCACATCTTAGACCCTAAACCTTAAAAGGCCTAAACCTAAACCCTCAACCCTCAATGCCCTGAACCCTAAAAAGGGCCCCAAACCTAACAAGCCCTGAACCCTAGAAGCCCTTAACCCTAAAAGCCCTAAAAGCCCTAAACCCTCAAAGGCCTAAACCCTAGAAGCCCTACACCCTAAAAGCCCTAAACCCTAAGCCCAAAACGCTAAACCCTAAAGCCCCCTAAACCCTACAAGCCCCAAAAGCCTTGAACGCCTCAAAAGCCTCAAAAGCCTTAAAAGCCCTAAAACAGCCTAAACCCTAAACTCTAAACCCTAAACCCTAAACCCGAAACCCCAAACCCTAAACCCTAAACCCTAAACCCTAAACCCTAAACACTAAACCCTAAACCCTAAACCCTAAACCCTAAAAGCCCTAAGCCCTAAGCCCTAAGCCAAAAGCCCGAAGCCCGAAGCCCGAAGCCCGAAGCCCTAAGCCCTAAGCCCTAAGCCCTAAGCCCTAAGCCCTAGGCCCTAAGCCCTAAGCCCTAAGCCCTAAGCCCTAAGCCCTCAGCCCTAAGCCCTAAGCCCTAAGCCCTAAGCCCTAAGCCCTCAGCCCTCAGCCCTAAGCCCTGAGCCCTAAGCCCTAAGCCCTTGACCCTTAAGCCTTAAGCCCTCAGCCCTAAGCCCTAAGCCCAAGGCCTGGTCCTGGTGGATGCCGCTGCCGACGCCATTCTGTCCAAGCGATCCGATCCTTGGGGAGGGCTTTAGGGGTTTGGTTCGATAGTGTTTAGGGTTTAGGGTTTTGGGTTTTGGGTTTTGGGTTCAGGGTTTAGGGTTTAGGGTTTAGGGTTTAGGGATTAGGGTTTAGAGCATGATGGATTTCTGTGAGTGTACAGAGGGACATATTGGGTGTCCTCTTGGGGATACTGGGAATAAACAGCCCTAGACCGCGACAATCCCTTTTGCATCCTGTGCACTTCGTAGCCTAAACCCTCTTGGTAGCCCAGCGATGCCCTTTTGCCCTTGTTTTCGTTCAAGGTTTAGGGTTTAGGGTTTAGGGTTTAGGGTTTAGGGTTTAGGGTTTAGGGTTTAGGGTTTAGGGTTTAGGGTTTAGGGTTTAGGGTTTAGGGTTTAAAGCAATCAACCCCAAAAGGGTTCCCTTGTTATGAGATGGTTGCTGGACTACCAAGCCCTTGGACCCCTGAGCCCCAACACCTTTGCACCTTTCACTCTTCAGCTAATCTAGGACCCAGAGTAGGCCCTTCTTCCCTTGTTGGGGGGTTTTTGGGGTTCCCCTAAACCCTAAACCCTAAACCCCTAAACCCTAAACCCTAAACCCCAAACCCTAAACCCCAAACCCTAAACCCTAAACCCTAAACCCTAAGCCTCTTTCAACCAAAAAGGGCACCCTTCTTATTCCTCGGTTTGCTGGCCTAGTAATCTCCAAGGATGCCGTGGAGGTTGCGACGCTGCTGCGCGCAGTGGAGCGGAAGGCGGCTGGGCTGAGGGTTTAGGGTTTAGGGTTTAGGGTTTAGGGTTTAGGGTTTAGGGTTTCGGGTTTCGGGTTTAGGGTTTAGGGTTTAGGGTTTAGGGTGCGTCCTCGAGTGTGGGCCGCGATCTGTGTCTCTTGTCAAGCCGGGGTCGTAGGAGGGGAGGAGGAAGGGTCGAAAACTACCCTAACCCTGAGCCCTAAACCCGCAATTAGACCTTAACCCTTGACCCTTGACCCGACACCCTCAGCGCTGAATTCTAATTTTGTTTTTTGTTGAAAGTTGTTTTGAGGTTTTGTGCCTTACGTACTTGCGCTTTGGTCCGTGAATTGTCCTGGAAGGGCTCCCAGAGATGGGTTCAGGTCACATGACCTCTGGAGAAAATGACCCAGGACTAAGGTTTAGGGTTTAGGGTTTAGGCTTTCGGCTTTAGGGTTGTGATCGTGGGGCCTTGGACACGCTGAGGATCCCCAAAAACTTAAATTCCCGAAAAAAAAACCCTGAGGAAAACCTACCCGGCCCCAACCATTGATTCTTGAATCCTGAAAGATTCCTGAACAAAACCTGAAAATTCCGATTGGCCCCGAAACCATGTTTTCTTCAATCCTGAGTAAAAACTGAAAGATGCTCGGAAAAAACAGTTGCTATTCGCAAATTCCTCGGATTTCCTACGGTTCTTAGGAAAATCCTCAGGAATACTCAGGAACACTCAGGAATTCCTGATTGAATACGGTTTTTAATCGAATCTCTCTTAGGCGAACCCCTTAGAACCCTAGAAAATCCTGGATGCTTGTGAAAAGTAGGTTTTTTTTTTCCAGCTTTTCCAATGCAAAAGCTGAAAAAAGCTGAAAAAAGGCTGAACAAAGCTGAACAAAGGCTGCTTTTCCTTTATTTCTGGGATTGGGGTCAGGTTGGTTTTCGATTATTTTTCAGGATTTCTAAGGGACAGTTGTTTTTTGTTGTTGGGTTTTCTAGGTTTTTAATAAACAGCTTTTGCCAGTGTCTCCAAGCCCAACACGTTCACAAGTTTAGGGTTTAGGCTTTAGGGTTTAGGGCGGAGCTGTCCAGGACGTAGCCGTGAGTTTGATGGTGCCCTGCGCGAATTCGTAGACGGACCCAGGTTTGCCATTTTTCGTCGAAAATTGATCTATACTTCGCTGGCTTTGAGCAAAACATGCATCGAGTCTCTATACTATCTTGGAGAGGTTGTTTTGTTTGGGTGGGGGGGGGGGGGTGGTATATCTGCCATTTGCTTAAGAATCCCCAACATAAAAGACAATGATCCCTATATTGCCCGTTATAAGGGAATACATATGTATAGATAGATATGTATATATATATATATATGTATATATACAATATAATATAAACACATGTTTTTCCCCATTTTTTTGGGGGGAGGGGGTTCTGAAGCAACTAGTAACTAGTAGATACAGCAGCAGGTTACATTTTCAGTTGCGCAGTACTTCTGCAGGGTTGGGGGCCCTCGCCTCAGCTACCCCCAAACCATGGGATGTGCGTTGTGCATCCCTTTCAACCCTCAACCGTCCATGGCAAATCTTCTAGCACACCCGAAGTTGGGAAACGTGTGACCAGGTCGACATGTTTGATGACCGGCAGCAGATTCTTGGAGTCGCCATGACTGCCAACTACCGAAACGGCTGGATCGTCAGCATCCTGTTTGCCGCTTGCAGCGGCCTGTGGGAGATACTACGAACCATGCGCACGGACCTGGTGGACTTCGTGGCGTCCCAGGATGAGGTGCGGGACTTATCCGTCGTCGTCGTCGTCGTCGTAGTAGTAGCAGTAGCAGTAGTAGTAGTAGTAGTAGTAGTAGTAGTAGTAGTAGTAGTAGTAGTAGTAGTAGTAGTAGTAGTAGTAGTAGTAGTAGTAAGTAGTAGTAGTAGTAGTAGTAGTAGTAGTAGTAGTAGTAGTAGTAGTAGTAGTAGTAGTAGTAGTAGTAGTAGTAGTAGTAGTAGTAGTAGCAGCTTGGAAACTCCTTTGACATAGTAAGTCTACTTAGTTTCCTCTCGAGACCCTCGTATATAATCCCAATAACCCCGCTTTACTAACCTGTTATTACGTAAGTCAAAAGGGCTTCCAAACACCCAAAAGTAAGAGCACCCCCCCCATCTTGCTGGCGAAAAAGTCTTGGCCCTGACGCCCGATAGCTCGGCAAGCCCGACGTTTCCCGCCCTTGAGCTGCCTCTTGCCATGCTCCGCCCTGCCGCACTTCTCGCTCTCCTGGGCCTCGCCCAAGCCACCGACCTCACGATGGAGTCGTGGGAGAAGAAGACGTGTTCGTCAAGTTTGCTGCTCCCTGGTGTGGCCATTGCAGGAGCATGAAGCCCGCGTGGGACAAGCTGATGGAGGACTTCGAGAACAAGGACGTGTTGGTTGCTGACGTGGACTGCACCTCGAATGATGGAAAGGCCTTGTGCGAGAAGGTGGGTGTGCGAGGCTTCCCGACGCTCAAGTATGGCGATCCCGATGACCTTCAGGACTCTTAGTCGCCCAGCGGTACCCTTTCTGCCATTTTTTTTGGGGGGGGGTTTAAGGTTCCCTTATTACGTAACCAACCCCCCAAAAAGGGTAACCCTTATTATGTTTCTTCGAATTATTCTTACTATTATGGTTATCATCATATGGTTGCTGGGCTACCTTCAGGCCTACCAGGGTGCCCGTGAATTCGACGCTCTCAACACCTTCGCCAAGGGTCTTGAGAGGAAGCCGATCCACCAGTAGCGGGAGACCAGGCGGATATTTGCATCTTTTCCGCTGATTGGGTTTTAAGAGGATAAGTGCTAGGAGAATATTTCAGAGGGTTTTACTGGCCATCCATCCTAGGAGACCATGATCAGGGATGATCCGGGAAAAGGAGCACCTCCCAAACACTTTACTAAGCACTTGCGTTTCACCAGTTGGGCCTTCACATCAGGAGCAGACTTTTTTGTTGCGACAGTTGAGAAACAAAAAAGGCCTAGCGCGCAAAGATGCCGAGCGCACCAGCAAAAACTATTCGACAAAGCTTCTCTGGGCAGCTTGCTCAACAGTCTTGCAGACGAGGGTCCGCATGTCATCTTTCGTTCTCTGGTGCCCCTTACCCTACTTGACCCTAAATCCTACTTCGGACCCTAAACGCTGGAAGCTTTAGGCCCCTGAACACTAAACCCGAACCCCAGTGTCATGCCATGCTGCACCAGGCTGGGGGGGATGGACTGGACCCTCAACCCTCAACCCTAAGCCCTAAACCCTGAGCCCTAAGCCCTAAGCCCTAAGCCCTAAGCCCTAAGCCCTAAGCCCTAAGCCCTAAGCCCTAAGCCCTAAGCCCTAAGCCCTAAGCCCTAAGCCCTAAGCCCTACGCCCTAAGCCCTAAGCCCTAAGCCCTAAGCCCTAAGCCCTAAGCCCTAAGCCCTAAGCCCTAAGCCCTAAGCCCTAAGCCCTAAGCCCTAAGCCCTAACGCAAAGGCTGCTTGCTCTTGCCAGTGCTGTTCGCCTGCATAAAAAAGGGGGTGCCCTGAATATACACCCCAAACCCCAAACCCCAAACCCCAAACCCCAAACCCCAAACCCCAAACCCCAAACCCCAAACCCTAAACCCCGAGCCCCGCTAATCCTTATTTATAGGACTCCCCGCCACCCCCCGCCACCCAAACCTTAAACCCTAAACCCCCAAACCCTAAACCCTAAACCC